TTTTTTTCACTTTCACTATAATTATATATAAAATATTATAAAATATTATAAAATAATAATAATAAAATATTATAAATAATAATAAAATAAAATATTATAAAATACAAGTATTTTAGATACATACTATAATATTTGAGATTACATACTAATATTATATATTTTCGTTTTCTTAATATAATATTTTTTCATATGAGATAGAAAAAAGTTTTAAGAATGGACATACTATGATAATTTCTAATCTAATATATGAATTCGTAATATATATATTGATATTTAGTATAATATTGATTATTAGTTAATGTATATTCGATTGATTTTTAAATATCTTCTTTTATGAAAATAATGAGGTTCCAATTTAATTATTTTTGATTTTCATTTTATTTAGGATCATACAAAAAAAAATCTTTCTAATTTTATTTGTATTTGATTATGAATTTTGAATTATTTAGAATTTTTAAAAATTAAAAATAAGAAATCTTTCTGATTTTATTTGTACTTAATTATAAATTTTGAATCATATTATATTTAAGATTTTTGAAAACTTTAACATTAACATATATATATATATTTGGAAAATTATTCTAAGTAACAAAATAATATAGTAATAAGTAACAAAATAGTATATATACACTATATACTATATACTATATACTATATACTATATACTATATATACACTATATACTATTTTATAACAAGAAATGATATGAATCATAACAAATCAAACGAAATATTTAATTTTTAATAATCATTTGAAACTGCATTTTATATTGATTTGTATTGGCATATAAATAGATGTTTTTAAATCGCTAAATATATTTTTTTGCACAGTTTTTTATATAAAGTTATATGAAATTGCATTAAATTAAAAACTTATTACGTCAATATTTTTTAATCAATAGTAAACATTAAAAAACAAAGTATTAAAAATGATCTTATTAATATTTAATAAATTATATAGAAAATATACTTACTAACAGTTATTTGAATAATTTATATAAATAAAGTCAATATAAATCAATTTAAAAAAATAATTATAAAAAAATAATTACTATTAAAAGTTAAATAATTGAAATACATTCTTATTTATGGAATAATGTAGGTTATTTTATCTTTTTTATTTTGAGAATAAAAATGAAACATCTATATATAATATATATATAATAATATATATATATAATATTATATATATATAAATAATATATATATATTTTTTGATCAAAATAATTTACTAAATATATCAAAGTTCTTTGTTTTTGATTTGATTCATACATATAACGATGTATGTTATTTTATTTTAATATTGTATCTTTAAAATAATTTTTTTTTTATAAGGTTTTAATTCATTATTTTTTTTAAAAAATTATGAAAAATTTATAATTTGGCACTTGCGACAACAGCTAAAAAGCAAATATCTATTGAAATTGCAAATTATATAATTACCAATCGGATTTCAAGTAATTAATAAATTAATCTTATGTTTTTCTAATATGTTTTTAATTAATATTTTTCTAATATGCTTTTAATATGTTTTTAGAATTTATTTTTATAAAATTTATTTTTAATTTTATTGCAGGTAATATCTGCAACTAATCAAGATTATCTTTGTCTACTAATTGTTAAAGAATTTGAACAAATATATAGTGATTGGATTTCTCTGATAGACTTTTTTTTTATTCTACATCGTATAATTTGAACTAATAATTAAATATTATTAAGTTAAGTTTTTAAATTTTTTATTAATAATTAAAGAACATTATTTATAACACAGTACAAGAAAAAAAATTGTTATTGAAAATAAACATTTTACTAATTTTTCGTCTACATTTTTCAAATTTTATACAGTAGAATTAAATAATTATACTAAATTTATAAATATTAATTTATATGCATTTTTTTATTGATAATAATAAACAATTTGTATAGATGAGCAACAAATTTAAAAAAATTTAAAATAATAGATACATTAAACTATTTTATATACAAATCCCGCTAACATAACCTGTTTAAAAATAAAAAATATGTATAAATATAAAATCTAATAATATCCATTATTATAATGGAAATAAAATCTACGTATATCCATTTATTTTTAATAATGAATTCTAATATTAGCAATGAGAGATAAATTTTAAATATTAATTCTACATATTTAAAATTTAAATGGTTGAAGTTATATAACATATAGTTAGTTTTTGCTGCATTTTTAATATCTTAGTTATTGTGCAGGCGTTACTTCATTTTTGTTTCCAATCTACAACAGGACAACACGATGTGATTACTACTTATTTATTCTAAACATCGTGGTAATCGATATCTAAATGTATAAAATATATAATATTATGAATAACCAATAAATTAATATAATTCAGTATCTATATAGTATGTATATATATATATATTAATATATATATTTTATAGATTAGGATTTTGAAATTTTTCGAATCTAAAATGAAATATAATAATGAATAAAATAAACTGATTTTACATAAAATTACATACATACATTAAATCCATCACATACGTTTCATCTTACTATTTCAATAGTTAAAGATATCATAAATTTTTATTAAATAATTGAATTTTACAAAAAAAAAAAAATAATAGATGCATATGAATTACATATTATTGAATATATTTCCACAAAATATATGAAAAATATGCAAATTAATTAATGTATTAATTGAAATTTAAAAAAAATTAGATTTCCTATTTAAATTTTATTTTATTATCAATATATATTTTATAAGAAAATATATGTACATAAATGTTCGCAATTTTATATTCTTTCAATAATATATGTATATATGTGATTCTTCATCCATAGGTATTGTTTCTACCGCTGGTCATTTGCCTTCAGTCACTGGAAATATCAATTACATGTTAGTGATGGGACCAATGACAAGATATGCGGAAGATCTTAATTTGATGATGAATGTGTTAACTTCCAAATGCGAAAAACCTTTACATTCATACGATTCCATTGAATTAAAAAATCTAAAAGTTTTTTATTTAGATAGCTTTCCTGATATAAAATTATCTTCAAAGGAAATAATTGAGATAGTCTATAAAGCTTCACAATATTTAATAAACAAAGGTGCTATTGTGCAAAGAGTAATTATTTCATAATAATTTTATAATAATTTGATTCTAAAATAATCAAAAAATATTTAAAAATTGTTAAATAATTACATTTGTATCGTAGTTTCCAAAAGACAAGCTGAAAAACATATTATACATGACATTCTCTTTATTTTCTGAATTAAAAGAACTTAATCTAATAGAGGTAATAATTATTATAATATATTAATAAATGAATATATAATATATTTTTATTATTTGCATGTCTTTAATTTAATTTTTTGAAAATTAATTATTTGTTAATTTATTTTTTTTTTTTAGGGAAGAAATTCAGTTCTTGAAATGGGAAAATCAATAATGGGATTATCATCGTTTACGCAAACATGTTGTCTTATACAAATGTTCATAGACAAAAATGCATTTATATCAATTTCAAAGAAACAATATTATATTAATGCTACAAAAGAACTCACTCGAGAGATGAATGTATGATATTCATATGTATTATACATATATACATATGTATAAGTTTTAATTTTATTATAATTTATAATAAAATTAGTTTAAAATAAATTTATAATTTTATTATAAAAATGTTTTGTTTATAAGAAAGAATATAAAGATATTTACTTTTATTTTAATTTTATTATTACTTTTCAAAAAATATTTAATTCAAAAAAAGTTGTTTTAAAAAATCTTAACTAATTAATATTTTTGTCTACTAATATCTTTATTTATACTTTCAATTATATTCAGTTGCATCTTTCTGCTTTTTATATTATTATTCTAATGAAATAATGATTATGATAATTATAATACTAATGATTATAAACATAAATAGATTTTTAGAAAATCTCATATACTTATATCTATATTTGTTATATCGTATCAATCTAAATTTTTTTTATATTATTTATAGGATATATTAAAAGATAATGGAATATTAATATGCCCGTCCTATTTTCGTACAGCATCTTTTCCACAAACAATGATTTTTGAAATAAATAATTGCATATATAGTTCATTAGCAAATATAACGGGTTTACCTTCAACGCAGATACCAATGGGTATGGATAAAAATAGATTACCAATCGGATTTCAAGTAATTAATAAATTAATCTCATGCTTTTCTAATATGTTTTTAGAATTTTTATTTTTATAAAATTTATTTTTAATTTTATTGCAGGTAATATCTGCAACTAATCAAGATTATCTTTGTCTACTAATTGCCAAAGAATTTGAACAAATATATGGTGGTTGGATTTCTCATTGATAGATTTTTTTTTATTTTATATCGTTATGAATATTTTGCTATGAAATAAATATTATTTATCAATAGGTTGCAGATGTTTATGTAAATATAACTATTATAGAGAATAAATAATAATGAAACAGAATTTATAAAAAAAACTCTTTGAAATTAATAAAAATTAAAAAATAATAAAAAAAATTTACGTATAAATATATGTAAATAATTTTTATGATAATAATTTTATTTACATATTTTGCATTTATTAATTTATATAATAGCATATATATTATATGCTCAATTTATATTATTTTTTTAACGTAGCTTATTTATATAAACGTTTGTAATTTAATTATCAAAGATTGTAAACAATGTTGTTATATAATAAAAAAAGTAAAAATGTAAAAAAAAAGTGAAACAAATAGATATTTATTGATAAATATAATTAATTGAAACATGTTTATTTGTAGACATTTTCCTTTAATTTCACCAAAATTTGCATGTACAATTTGTGTTAAAATATCTTATCTTTTTCAACAAACAAATAAAATTATTTATATTATATCTATACGAAGATAGTTTCTTCAACAATGATTTATATTAATTAAAGGATGTTTTTTCATTATATATTACATTATAGAATGTAAAAGAATTTTATATATTAAAAGTTTATTGTTTTCACAATAAATTTTAATATGATAAGTTAATTTCATTAAATAAATCGAATATATTTTTAGAAAAAAAAAGAATAAATTTCAAATTTAATATCTTCCTTTGAATCGTGATTTTTTAATTATAAAATATTTAATATAAATTCATATTGATTTTAAATATTTATTTGAATTTATTATATTAGAAATAAGTATAGTTGCTATGTAT